CCAGGGAAGTCTCTGCTGCCCACCCATCGGCCGGCCTGGGCCCCGTGCGCCCACCCGGGTTGCAGGACGGGCACGGTGGAGGTCAGCGCCTGGAGGGCTGACGTGGGTGAGCACGGTGACGACAGCTGTCGGGTGCACGGACGTCGCCAGTCCTCTTTCCCATGTCAGCGCCAGGAAAGTCTGGAAGGAGAGGTCTCTTCCTCCCGCCAAGTCATGACTTCCGGCGTGTGCACCGCACCACACGCCTGCGGTGTCCCATCTGGGGAACTTCCAGACGTCCTTTAGAGACCTCACGCGGAGGGCTCGGGCCTCCAGCCCTGCGGCCAGGACATGCACCGGGCTCCACACGGCCACGGCCCTGGGACCAGACCAGGGGAGGAGGTGCGAGCGGCTGGCTGGGGCTGCGCTGCAACGTCACGGAGCGCCAGCTGAATGACCGGGGCGAGCGAAACACGACCCGCGTGGGCTCTGGCCCAGCTGCGAAGGCGCCACGGAGAGAGCTCTGGGCACCCAGGCCGCCAGGTGTCACTCACCGCCCACACAGCACAGCCAGGCCGTGGGCTGCAGCCCCTAGGACCACACTCACACTCCACACCCTGACACACCTGCTCACATTCACATACCCTGAAACAAATACCTGCTCACACTCAAATACCCTGACACACACCAGCTCACACACCCTCACACACATCCACTCACTCACACCCCTACTCCCAGTCACCAAATACGCTCACTCTTACGCACCCTGACACAAATAGCTTCTCACACGCACACACACTCTGCACACACTGTCGTGCACACCCACACACTCACTCACTCACACCCTGCACACACTGCTCCTGAACTGGCCCTTCAGGCCCAGGCGTCCCGATAACAGGGCCTCACTTGTCTCTCATAACTGTTCCCCATGGTGGGGTGAGAATGCCCACTCGATGCCTGAGCCGTGAGATAAAACTGCAAAAGCGTCTCATTCATCCCTGGGTTTGGTGAGCATCATGCTGATTTAAGATCACTTCAGTTCCACGCCCAGGCCAGTTTGGTCCAGGGGTTAGAGCAGGGGTGGGCAAACTTTTTGACTCGAGGGCCACAATGGGTTCTTAAACTGGACCGGAGGGCCGGAACAAAAGCATGGATGGAGTGTTTGTGCGAACTAATATAAATTCAAAGTAAACATCATTACATAAAAGGGTACGGTCTTTTTTTTCAATAGTTTGCCCACGGCTGGGTTAGAGCATCAGTCTGATGACTGAAGGGTCTCAGGTTCAATTCCTGATCAAGGGCACGTACCTGGGTTGCAGGTTCGATCCCCAGGCCCGCTTGTGTGAGTGCAACCAATCTCTCTCTCCCTCTCTCCCACCTGCCTTCCCTCCACTTTCCCTAAAATCAATGGGGAAAATATCCTCTGGTGAGAACTAACAAAACAAAGTCATTTTAGTTCCTTATATTCCAAGGGCTGTAAACGTGCCACCAGCGCCAGTCACTCCATGGGCTGCTGGCAGGGCCTGCCCAGACCCCTGGGAAAGGCCAACCCCAAAGGTCCCAGACGCTGGAGCCCCTTGGGCCTTTGTGTGACTCAGTGCAAGGCCAGCAGCGTGTGGATGCCATCCACCCCTTTGTGACGCTTCTCTCTAGGCCCGTGGCCCCTCGCTGACCCAGGGCCTGGCCGACTCCACGAGAGGGGCCTTGCTCCCAATGCTGATGACCATCGCGGTCCTCTGTCGGGGGTCCCTGGACAGGCACCCCTTCCTCGGAGCAACATGGGCTCGGCCAGCCCTGGAGGGCAGAAGGAACCCCTCCCTGAAACACGTAAAAAGCCGAGTAGTGTGCGCCTAGGGATTCCTGTGGACTCTGAAAGGCCGTGCC